CCATTGACCTTGAACAATGACTAAATCAGACTAAAGTGGAATGCCGCCTTTAATTCTATAGAAATTCTTTTGTAGAACATAAAAATTTTGTGCATCCTGGAAATTTTTTTTGCAAGTTCCATGAGCTGCATTGCTCCATGAAGAAACAAGAGATCTAAATACCCTGCGATTATTCATAAACAATCTTTGGTTTATAGATTTAATTAACAAAAAAATTTTTTGCTATGTATTATTTGCTTTTGGGAAAAGTTCCTCTTGCACTGCATATACCTGAGCATTGAAAAAATCTCTTGCAGGAACCTGTATTCGTAAGCTTACCAAACAAAGTCCAACGAAAATAAGTTTTTTTTTTGTGCTAGAACTTCTTCCTCTACCGTAATCCTACATCAACATTTCGCGCTATGCAGTTTAAAATGAGCTTCCAAAACATTGGTCATTCTTGGAAACTGAATTTTATGAAAGAGTTGTCTTAGATCAGACATGGGTGAGGGTATAGTTGAAGTCTCTGCATGCTCTGGGAGAGTTCTGCAAATTTAGAAATACATAAAACATGAACGGAATAGTTATGTTATCTTGAGATAATGGATTGTCTAAGAAAGAAACGAAAGCTGAGTTTATCGCTGGTAATCGAAATTATATTTGAATGTTGATAAGCTCGTTTCAAGATTCATACAAAATAATCAAGACACGTTTTGTGTGGTTACGTTTCTTCAAAGTTTTTTTTTATTAGACCAAGTATGTCAATGCGTTCTGAACATAGCTGAGATACTAACCAATCGCTCCCACAGGAAATAGCTATCCCAGCGCAATTGCATACTTGAATCGGCTTGCTACGCTACAACATTACAATTCTTGCCAGAGAAGCTAGCTATTCATAGCGCGGAACTTCCAAACAGTGTATTCATCGTTAAGCAACGCTGCCTGAACATGTAGCTGGCGGTGATTCCAGCCAGACAGCATTCCACATCTGTCCCTCGGCTGATAGTGTGCGACGGATAGCCGGGGCCTGAGTGACCGTGGCGGGCGCGACTTGGCCAGTGGCCGCTTCATAATTGAATCATGGATGTGCAAAAATGTCACTCAGTGACGAGCGTGAGAGACGCGCGGATTGGTCTGGATTTGCGTGGTCGCGGAGGAGAAAGGGAACGACGAGAGCGAGAGTGGCAAGAGATTGGCCGTCCACTGCTTGAGAAAATCACCCTTGCCCCCCAACGAAGAAGATGTGCGCTCGCGCGCGCGCGGAGAGCGTCTCTGATTGCGGAGATGTTATCAGAAAGTCCGCGCGCGACGCAGTGCTTCCCGCGCGGATGCGCAGTGCATACGCGCGCGGAAAGAGCGCGCTGATTAGAGAGACGCGCTGCGCGCGGTCAGTGATGGGCGGGCGGACCAGCGGCGGCGGCCACCAGCGCCGGGACTCTTTCAGCGCCGCGGCGCTACGTCTGTAGCTTCCTGTACTGAACAGCTGATTTCGCTCGCTTGACAGTAGCTGGCTGGTGGCGATGAGACGAGTTTCCGCGTCACCGTGGTACACTCAAAGTACCTACTCACTGAATATAATTCCTGAAGAACATATTCCCCCAATTGACTATGAGGGTAGGTCTCTCTCTATGCTGATTGATGTTTTTTGTCGATACACCCGGTAACCCTTGTAAATGTTTGATGTTATCGAACCAGTCATGATCTTGAACTAGTTTACGCTCTCGTCAAGCTACATATGCGAATATTTCTCGGGGTTATAGGTCTACAACTTCTAATCTTTTTGCGCTGGTGATGCTCTAAAATACAGAATATGAGCTCGGTCAATGGCGTTGGATCTGCTCAAAAGTTGCTATCTGATGTTGTGATGTGATGATTTTCTACAAGTACTCTTTTGAAAGTCCTAATGTTGCGAGCTTCTTGGCACAGTTTCTATAAAATCTAGCAACTTCTTCAGGACTTCTTTTACTTCAAATTTATAGGTGAAAAGTAGAAATTGTTCAAGGCCTTGGTTAAATCTTGTTGAAGCTTAGACTACTATTCCATTCTGACATTCCTCTTTGACTTTGACTTTCTTTTTTTTCCTCCCAGGGTTTTCAGCTGTGGCAAAATATTTTCATCTTTGAATGGCTCCATAACGCGAGATCATAGCTTTGCTAAACAAATAAGATTACTGGATCGTCTATGCTTGAATATATGCGTATAATACTCGTTTCGCAAATTGCTAATCATTCTTCTTACTTTCTGATCTGCAAACTATTCGTCATGCTTTTCTTTCTGCGGTAAGGTATAATAGTAGCTTTCATCCTAGGAGTGCAGCTAACGTTCTTCTTTTAGCCGTTTTTTCCTCGGATTTTTTCATAGTTAGCATTTCCGCTTTACTGCAGATTCGTCGTGAGCAAAACATAAATCATGTTTGTTAATATCTTAGTCATCTGCTGCTAATTTCTCCTCCGCACTAAGAGCATCTGACCGCCGGAAACGCGGGCGTAACGTGAGATAACATCAACAACACGACCACGACCCCATTCAGAACTTTCTAATGGTCTTCAATCTTCGAGAATTTTTTTATTGGCGGGAAAATCAATTCACCATTTATTATGTTGGGAATATTGCAATCATAGAAATGTAGCGCAAAGAAACTGCAAGTAATGCTAGCAGTAAGGTTTTAAATTTTGTTGAATCTCGTTAAAAATGGCACTTACACCTCTGCACTGAATATTTTCATTTGCGGTGCAAAAGTCCCGTAAAAACCTCCAATCGTCATGCCATTTACGCTGCTACCAGTACGAGGTGAGAGCAAGGTCATACGGCGCACGCCAGTTTAGTTTATTACTTACTAGTACAGAAAGTCGGAAACATTCCATACATGTCGATTCTGATAGAATATTTACATTAATTACTGAGAATAGGGCGTGTGAAATCGTGGGAGCTATACTAAGCAGGAAAAAAATTCGCAGTTACTTTCTCAGTCTCCACATTTATACATCTAAATTTGACATAACTTTATTTTAATTCAGAATAAATGTCAAAACCACCATCAGGTGCAAAAGATATCTTTAACAGTGAAATTGAAAAGAGTCATTTTTGTGTGTGGATGACCAAATACAGAGCAAAACCACTTGACTTGTCTAGTTCGCGTTTTATTTCCACTTGAGCGATGTCGCTTTAATTATCGAAATATTTTCGGGTTTTCTCACTTGCTTTCGGAAGATTTTCCGTGAAGAGTTTCATTTTCCTTCATTTCACTGTAAATTGAAGGGGGAAAATGTTTAAAGGCCATTATCTCCTGGGCGTTACATCGTCAACATTTCTCTTTCTCGAATCAATATGAAACTAAGATACATCAAATTAATAAAAGCTGTAAACTACTCGAATAATTCGAATTTTCTCTTCACGAATCAGACGCAGAGTAGCCAAATCTTTCGGAATCTCCAAAAAGCGCTTTTCGTGAACCTTTTCACACCAATTTTACTGTAAGAGAAAAGACTTGCTGATTTTTTGAAAGTCAGCTTACCTAAAAATGACTGTTTCTAAGTTTGCTATACATAAGTTTTTCCGGTAATTGTTTCCGTTTTTACAAGCATATATTCTTCTTTATTATAACCTTTCAACCGAGAGTATCCTTTACTCGCTGAGATACGGGAGCCCAATTGTTAATCGGTTTGAGTCGTCCGATTCGGTGTACCGGGCATTGTTTTCGTAGTGAAGCACTCGTCCACTCTCTTCACCGATCGGGACGAGATTTCTCGTCGACACAACTACGTATGTAGAGTCGGCAACATATTTACTCTAAAGCTGCGCACAGCCCCGACCGATGTCGTCGGCCCGGCCCGTCCACAATTGTACGGGGGGGGGGGGGGGAGTGAGGGGGGAGGCTAGCGTTCACGATGTGTTCAATGAGAGATAGTATCGGACAACAAAAGGAAAATACGACTGTTGGCTCGCGACACAAGAGGATTTAGCCTTAGCGCCAGTCGGATTTGTCGCGACTCGGTCCGTGTGTTGATAGCTCTTCCGATTGCTCACGATGAAAACAGCGTGAGGAACGTCGGACGGCATAAAAAAATTCGAAAAAGTCTTGCGGCTATTTGGTTCTTACGATGAAGTCGTGTTAGGTGAATAGCTGAATGTTTGCGAAACGTTTTTCGTGACGCTCTCGTAAGTTTTTGCCTCGCTAATGCGGAAGAATTTGAAATTGACAAATTAGCTCCATTGCGAAAATGTTTCCTAAATGTCCTCCAGTATATTAGTTAAATTTATTTTACTATTTATTCATAAGCTCTTAGCATCGGTGTTCAATCAGAGGAGACAATGTAAGCTAAGAAAATTCAACAAATTCGAAAAGGAAAATCAGAAACAGAGCCTAGAAATGAGCATAAATCGTTGAATCAGCGAACTTTCTTTGACCGTTATTTTTCTCCAAGAAAGGCAGTAGTTTTTGAAAGCAGAAAACCCGATAATCGAACTTGTCTACTCTCATGATGTGGGATCAGAAGGAGGTTGCTGGGTCAATTAGCGATATAATTATAACCAGCTTTTATATCTCGTCATTGTATAAATGCAAATCTATTATTTCGTCACCTTTCCTTTATAACGTACATTCTTTTCGTGTGTGGTCATTCCGCACATTAAACAGTTTTTAAAAGTTTGATTCAGCTACCTGTCTTGATTTCACTTCTCATTATAAACAAATTTTTCCTGCTTTTCAAACAAAAAATTTTTGTTGCAAATTTTGGTGCGAATGATGTTTATTCTGATGATGTTCACGATAAGTGCACCAAATATTCTTATCCCAAAAAGAATCTCCTTTCACTTTGAGCGCAAAAATCGAAAGGGCGCTAAGGTGTTTTAGATGTTTATCAACTAATGGTAGGGCTGTGCGTTATTGAAAGCTACCTATGTATTTGGTTGCATATGTCCTTAGTGTAGAGCTAACTTTAGAGCTCAGCTGACTTTTGGGAATTCTTGATGGACTAGATGTCAACGTTGGTATATGCTTCTGTCAGTTTCGATGATTTCAGATGTCATCCACAAGGACACATGCGAAACGCTGGATCGTCGAGGGAAGCCTTTGGCGGCTTCCGCTTACAACTTGACATCGTCTCAAGCCATTGCTATCGATGGACCGATCGAGCACAATGAGGCTGGATCTCATTTGGCGCCACTCACAATGAGACGATCTTGTCATGACATTTCGACACCACGAACATCCAGTGATAAAGCTGTGAGTGACACTGAGCTCATCTTGTCGCGCGCGCGCGCGTTTGCGACGCGGTTGCTACAGTAATGACGCATGAAAAAAGCTCGTGAAAGACTCATTTAAAAGCAATAGAGGTCGTACGGCTATGATAAGAACTCGTACGTGCTCGAGAATCTCGTTTTCTCATAGTTCTTGACACCAAGTCAATAACACGAAATCGTGAAGTCCAGTGGTGGCTTTTCGCTGATCATAATCCTGCACTGGTTTAAACTGGATCCGATTACGAAAAGAGCTCATCTTTTCATTCTCCCTGATGACACATTCATTTTGACGATCCGCAATGGTTTGGAAAGGTGATTTAGTTTTTGCATGCATAGTCGGCAATGTTTGAGAAATTTCGCAAAGCTAGGATTTCAAGGCGCTAATGTGGCCGCTTTCACTCAGTCGATACTTCTCACGATAAAAAATGCAAGTAGATTAGAGGAGAGTTTGCAACAATTATAAAAAAAATTCAAGGTCATTTTTCAAGCCCTAGTTTTTGCCAGAGTTGGTTTGCAAATTGTTTTTTATGATCTCGCAATCAATGTAATCCCATTTGAGTTGGCTTGAGCTTGATGCAGTATGAAGTAGAAACTTGGATAGCATGTTTCAGTTTCCTGCAAAATCCAATTCCTTAGGGAAATTCTGGGCGCCAGGAAATCACAGTCTCTTTGCGCCGATAGAATACATGATAGGCAATGGTCTATGAAAGGAATGCATAATAATAGCTAATAATGCCAAAAATCTATGCGGCCTTCAGATGTCGTAAGTAAAATGTATTCAGTTCGTTGCAGACTGTTTAAGACTAATTTGCATCACATGTACGTAGGTTGTAGGAAGTTAGTAAGTATGGGTTGGGGAGGGGGAGGGATTGTGAATTTTTAACCTAGTGTTCAATCACATCTAGCACGACAGTCGTGGAAATCGTCGTAAAATATTTGCTAATGATTCGGAAACACAACAAATTCATCGCCCTATCAAGTAAAACGCGCTTCAGTTGAATGAACACAGCGATGAGCATACTTCTTCTTTTCTTCCCAATTATTCAAAGCATTTTCAACATAGGACGATTTCAATTCCTAGCGAGTATGCTCTACTCCAAAAAAAGTCGTATGATTTGGCAATGAATTTTCCTCTAAGCTTTCGATGTTAGTTGCCACTAGCTTTGATAAGATTCCTATGTTGCATAACAGAATCTTTCCGAGCCTACAACTCTAGACATTTTTACGACTTTGCTTATTTTCCAAAAAAATAATGTGCGCAAGAGGAAACCTAACGCAGGTAACAAGTCATGGGGACTGAATATTCGAAACGAAGTTGGAACTTTTCAATGATTTGTGTCGTGTACCAAATTTTTAAACCAAACCATGGCAGTCGTCAAGGGCAGAGAAGGATTCCGGTTACGATTTGAGCAGCATTTCTATCTGTCAGAGGATGATTCCGAGTATAGTTTTGATAAAAGCAAAACGCAGATTATCATTGCTAGCGCTGAATTTCGATATGAGGGAAGTTTTGTGGGAAAGTATAGAAAAAGTCGCATAATCTCTCTCGTAGATCACAAAACTGACGCCTTTTATGTATTGCTCGAAACCGTAAGAACAAAGTGCTCAAGTCAACAAATCCCACATTTAGAGTCCTCAAATAATGCTATATACAGGCATAAAGCATAAAGCATTCTGCTTGTTGGTAAGCGTCGAAACAATTAACGATTGAGAAATACATGAGTTTGTAGTGGAATTATCGTTTTAACCTAGAATTACTGCTGATTGGGTTGCTTCGCAAATCAGATATATCAACCTGAGCTATTTATTCAAGGTAGATAGAAACAACTGCTTGTCTGCAAATTCTTTTCTTTGAGAGCAATGACAAAGCAAAGAGATAGAATGTTGCTACTTACCTACTGTTACTGCAAAATTGCCAAGCATTCATTCGTAATGCTCAGCACATTTCGTTCGCTCGTCGTCTCTCAAGATTCTTTATATCATTGCATTAATGTGAGCTTTTATGAAACATATATTTAGTTTTTTTCAGGTTTTCACAAAAATTTCCATTATCGAAGGGTCTCGGATTTTTTGATGGCCGTCTCATTTGCCGCTATTTTGGAATATTTAATAATAATAATTATCTTCTCCTTCTTCTTGTACCCCCATAAATATCTTGCATGCCTGTATATGGAAAAGATTCATCCATAAGCAGCACGAATAGTAATAAAATAAACTACGAAAGTAACCCTTGATTTCGCGATGAAAAATAATTTACATGGATTGTAAAAATGTGCAAACGACTTGTTTGTACTTGTAAATGTCGAAATAATTCTAAAACTTTTTGAAATTCAATTTAGCTCTATAAAAAAAATTTCTCGGGGCGTGGTGTTAGCCGCAACCTTTTTTCTGAAATTTTGGGGCTATGGGCTCGCAAAAATTGGTACGCAGCTGCTATATATCTATTCAAATAAGTTCCATGCTTTCTTGTTTCCGAATGTGGACAGTTGATTGAAAATCATAGCCTGAAATGATGTTGTGGTGATCCCAGGTTTGTGGGGTTTGTATCTTATGATCCTAATAAATTAGCGCAAATTTGATTTGCAAGGAATTAAACATGAAAAGAAAATTTTTTCGCATAACCTGATGTACTCATGAGTAGTAGAGTAATCAGTGGTGTGTAGTTTTTTTCAAAGATTAATATATCAGCTTATGACCTCGAAAGGAGACGGTTTGCCGTACCGAACACATCTTTACAATTATTTAATTTATTTGTTTTAGACCGAGGCAAACATCGACTTCACTACCACAGGACCACAACGGATAGCGGTTGGTATTAAATGATAAAGTCATGAATTTCCCTTATCTATCAATTTCAGAATTTCTTCTCACGACCATTCAGAGGAATCCCTCTGAAGAGAACAAAAAGCGTCAGTAAACTCGAAAAAGTTGTGCAACCGTAGTGAGTTCCTCATTTTTCTTTCATTTTCCTAGTGATGAGTGATGTTTGCGAGAGAATAAGTGAAAAAAGCGAGAAGCGGCACACTAAACCCTCCTGAGAGACGGAGGAAATGATGGAGTCAATGACGCAAAAGTGCACAAAATCACGATTCACTGCTTAAACGAGCTGCTCTGTCCTTGAGGATTTGGCTAGTGTATTTGCCGACGTTGATCGTTTCGGACATTTTTTCTACTATACAGCCGTCCTTGCCTAGCGTTTAGGTCGTTTTTTTGTCTTGAAGGGATCTATAGCCATGAAATTCCTGGCTCAGAACAGGTGGTTAATTTTTGCTAGAGGAGTTCAGGGTCTTTTCGGGATGTGACATCTGGCATTTTCCGCCTTCAATTCAAAATGGGTGCTCGGCATCTATAATTTCTTTGTGCCATTTTCTCAGTTTTTGAAGATTTGAATGCATGACAAGATGTTACAGATTCTGCAATTATTCGATAAGGAAATCATGCTGTATGTCTATTAGAAAGATAATAATTCTACTTGTAATACGGTAGTTTTACAGTGATATTGCGATTTAACCATTAGTAAAACGAGAAAAACCAGTATTGGAGAAATGCATCTTACATTATGTATAGGAAATGTACTCTTTTATTTTTATTAATGTGGATAAAACAAAACACTTTTATCAATGATATGAATCCATCCTTAGTTGATAACATTTTTGACTATATGTAGTTCAATAACGGAATTCTCCTCTAGTGCCACCATCTCAGAGAAGTGGAAAACTTCTGATAGAATGTACACCACAATTTACAAACCGTAATTCCCAAAATTCTGGTAGAGTTTTTCACAAAATGTATCAGAATTTTGGGAACATCGTGTGAATATATCCAAAGTAACACCTTTTGTTATGTTTCCATCAAAAATTCTACGCTCTTCCTTACCACAAGATTTGTTTTTGAAAAAGACGATGTTTAAAATGCGAGAAAATTCAAGAAACAAAGGAACGACCGTATTTTTTCACGCGCTAGTATTGTTTGCATCGCAGGTGCACCACATCACCATTTAATTATACTGCCCTTACCATAGTACCATAGAACCATTGTGAAAATGTATTTAATGTACTTTTATGTCTACTTAACGTACGGAAAAATTTTCGCTGAAATTCTACTTTGCTTCGGCTACGAATTTTGTACTAATTCGTATAATTTTGTACTAATTTAACGCATATATGCACATTGGATTTTTTTGTAGAAAATTTAGTGACGATTTAGTTTGCAGCAATGGCTTCGATTGATCATTTATGAATCATAGAAATTCCAGTAGAACAGCAGTGGCACCGATCATTTTCTCCAATGACTATTTGCATGTACTTTCGATAGAGCAGCGCGTCCTAATCCTTGCGAGGCACTTAGGCGCTGCCTCAAGCGACGAAATTGAATTGTGAATATGAGATTTTGAGCAGAATTACCACTTCTTATCACCATCATCTATTAGATTGTTGATGTTGATTTGATTTGCGTTTGTCTCGCCATTATTTAGCGCTATTTCGTTGCAGAATACTATTATCCTGCTCTCATTGTCAGTCTCACTAGTGAACCAGTAATCTAAAGGTGCTAATTGAAAGAGCGTTCGCTTCGAGACCGCCACTCGGTTTCCGGCTATGTGCACATTTTTGAATTGCGCTTACGATTCTTTATATATTAGAGATTCCAGACTCGATTTTTGCGTCAATTCTAACCTTTTCATTTCGACGCTTTGTTTAAGTTTATAATTATAGATTTGAAGAAGCTCGGAGTTTTACTCCCCTCAATCCGAGCATTGCTTTTGATAAATTTCTATTTTAGCAAGTTTAGATAAAACGACGTCAAATGGGGCACTCAGGGTGTAATCGCAGAATGATTTGAAACAAGCAAGGCGCTTGCCAAAAATTTTTGAATTCTCAGCTTTTTTATATCATTGATTCTCCTTCTTGGACTGCGGTAAAATCACGTTTGTGGACTAAATTTTTTTCTGTGAAGTTTTCGACCGGGAAATTTTTTCAATGTTTACTTTTAGTGTGCCTTTCTACCTGGAAAATCATATCAAATAAAATTTTCTATTGTAAACGCTGCCTTTGTCTTTCTTTGTAGTTTCATCTCCTTTCTCTTTCATCAATCACTTTTTACCTTAGTATCTCTTTCTTCTTACTTTCGCTACAAATTCATCAACTTCTCGACTAATCCATGACGCGTTGACCAGCTGCTGCTACTTCTTCTATTCCCACTTCACACTTTCTTCTTCGCTATCGTCATGAATTTGTCTTGCTCCTAGCATTCATTCGTCTCTCTTGACGATCGCTTCAACTGTTGTGCTGATGTTTACACGAGAAAAAGTAAGCGAAAAACGAGCGCAAAGCTTTCGTGTCGCACTGCTGTTGTGTTAGAAAATCGCATTCAAAAGCGCTCCCGTCTATCCAACTAGTTTATTTTTCCTGTATTTGGTACATGCTAAACAGTCAGGAACAGGACAAACTCGTCCATGCATATTGTTGTGTCACCACTTCCACGCTACAAAAAAATTTTTTGCACCTTTTTTTGCAAATCTGTCGAAGTTTTTGAACAATTTGCAAAAGAAATTTAGCCTCAATCTAGTGCAATATATTGCACAATATCAGCAAGTAGATCAAAAATCAGTCGCTACTCAAAAGATATGCGAACACGATCAGGAGGTAGTTATTTTGCCGTTGCCGTTGTTTTGAGATTCTTTGCTCGTTTTTACTCAAAATATTCAATATTGTCTTGGCCAGTTATAGAATCTCCTCAAGTGGATGAGGGTTAATTAATGTGAGAATAGATCAATTTGGAACTTTTGCAATCTTTTCCAGCTGTCTTTTGTACAGGGTGCAAGTCTGGGATCCTAGTACTTTTTCGTACAAAATGAGAAGGGAAGTACCTAGAAACGAAAAATTTGGCGCACACCTAATTCGAACCATTGCAGATACAGCCCAGTTCTCGAATTGCAAAACTGCCTCTTTTGGCTTCCACCACCCTACAAAATCTTGGCAAATCCACCTGTCATGGCACGCAGGTAGTCGTAATGGAATTTGCCCCACGCCTTCACAATAACTGCTTCTTTTACCTTGGCAAATGTGCAGCACGATAGAGCAAGCTCTTATCTACAACATGCTTCCAAAAGAATTTGCACTGCTTAGGAATAAAAATGTTGGATTTTCAATTAGAAGCATGTGTACGTCACATACCGGAATTTTGGCTACAATTGCGCGAATAAAAACTTAAAATTATCGTTTAAAAAGTATAAAAAGTGTTCCCATGGCCGAATTTCAATAGATTCTAATTTAGAAGACGTATGCAAAAAATACAGCCTTGGCCCCAGTGCCTGTTGAGCATTCTAAGCTTTTAAATTTGTTCTGAAGACGGATTTCCACTGGCACGTAGGTAACATTCGCAAAGCTTTTATTTTCTGTTTATGCAAGAACAGCTCCTGGCAAAAGCAAAATTAGGATACAATAGCGCAAAGCCTCTTTTATGTTGTGTGCATCGAAGTTTTGTAAACTATTAACAGCATCTCCAGCTACAGCAGAAACTGTAAATACTAAAAATTCTGGTTTTTCGCTTTGCAAAAGTACTAGTTTGGTAGATTCCATTTTTACAAAAACGTATGGCAGCTATTTTCAGCCAAATAAAGTGTATTCTGTAGAGGATGACCGCAGCATCATGCGGCATAAAATTGGAATCAAAACCGTAAGCACCTTTGTAATTGCAACACTGCAAATTTAGGCTCCCAGACTTTTGCCGCACCCTGTAATATACCTGTTAGTTCACGTCTTTTACTATTCTTTTATAGATACAAGAAGATGTCAGCAGTGATATCTTTCCAAGAGAATGCCTACGGTTAATTTTTTTTAGACAACAGCTTTAGCTGTGAAATGTGCGATTACTGAATTGCGTAGATCTCGCTCACCTTCACAAATCAAGAAGAAATTCATTTGCATTAATATTAGGTTGGAAACTAAGTTTTGCAACTCATTCAATTAACTTCCCTCTCTCTCAACATGGCTCACTCACATGTTGTCATCGTGTATGTTAAGACGTAAGCTACAAGGCAGCTGGTACTTTGTCAAATTCTGACGCCGTAGTGAGGGTGGTAGGGATATGGTATAAGGGGAATAATTATAAAATTTGACAGATTTTTCTGAAACTTGGCAAAGGGGGTTATCCGACATGCTGGGCACAAAGACGATACTGAACTCGCGTGATAAGAGCTTCTTTATAAGATTACTGTAGGTTTGGGATTTAGAGCCATACCCTAAACAAGGAAAGAGGCGTTGGATCAATAAATGAATATAGCGTTCGTGTTTGGCAGATCAAAAAATCTTAGTATGTGAAGTTTCAGCGAATTCTGAGGTTCTGACATAATCGTTGACGGTTGTCCCCAGCTGCCTTGTGTACAGCGACTCGTGACTTTGTGAGGGCTCCGAATCTCAGCATGCCCCTAGATTTCATTTCTTTTTTACTGAGCCGAATGAGTGAACCTCTAACAGCAACTCCATACACGATTTCGCATATTTGCGCATGCCATAGGCTGTTAATGTCTTCATCCTGGCTTATAACCCTGAGTTTTTTAAAATTTACTAGTTTTCGAAAAATGCCTGGAATCCCAACTCATATTCAAAATCTAAACAGCTTAGTTCTAGCTAATTAGTCTAGTCTTCTTATTTAGTTCTCAGTTCTAGCACACATTACACATATTGCCAAAGTTTGAAAGCGCCGTCACATCCAAAGAGAGTAATGTAAGAAGTTGCAAAACTTAATTTTCAGCCTAATATAAATCATAAGTAATTTTTATCGTCATTTCTTAGCCCTCTAACTGAAAACTTAGCAACTATTACTACCTAGAGCAATTCTACATTCTACTGAAATCATCGCATACCATATTTGGATCAAAAAACTTTTGCTCATTTTGCTAAAGCAATTTAAGTTTGGAGAAGAAGAAAGAAGAAAGAGATT